TCCACATAAACACACACAAACACTTTTTGTTTAGATACTGACAAAAACAAAATTGTTTTGCATGTGTGTCTGTAAATATTTTCTCAAACTTTAGCACTGTCAGAAAATTGCCTACGTATGGTTTCCGGGGCACGACAGTTGTGCAGGTGAAAGGTCAATTTTACATCTGTGTCTGCAGTGATCCAGCAGCTCTTTAACACTTTTCCACAACATCTGCATCAAGGGGCCACATCATTGGCTGGAATTTAGATAAATCTTTGCTTTTTTACCATCTTCAGTCAGGCATGTAACACACAAACACATACCCACGCACATACCAGAGTTATTTTTAGGACAGACTGAGTTTTTTACACATCACTGATCATTGCCCTGCTGTGCAGGTGTGTGTGTCTGAGGCCAGAGGGGGATCAGAGCAAGAGAGAAAACAGAAAACCATAGATTTTAGGAATAAACTTTTGATGCGTGTTCTTAAGCTAGGCATTTAAATCTAAAGTTTATTCAAATTTCTTCAGTAAATAAAAAAGCCTAGCATTCGTTGAAGGAGGGCTTATTGCCTACAACATTTCATGCCAAAGTTTTAGAGTACGATCAACTTATTTTGAAATGTTGAACTAGATTGACCCCAAAAGTCGATCACTCCTGGATGTACCTCCAATGATTGCTTTTTAAAAAGGTTATTTAAATCCATCTATTCATTTCTGTAGCTTAACCATGACCCTTACCAAAGATCTGACCATTACCAGTGCATTCCTAACCCTTACTCTTACCCCTCTTCAATTAACTCCTAACCACTAATCCAAAAATGATGTTCCACTGCAACTGGGCTGGGCTTTGGTCCCCATAAGAACCACTCGTCCTGAATGGAAGATAATTATACCAGAACTGTTCTAAAAATGTAACACGAAGGCAGACCTTCAATAAGTAACGCCCCAAAGTGGTGGTATATTAAAATGTCTATAATTCAGGTGCACACACACATGCATGAGCAAAACCATTACGGTCCACCTTCACCTTTTGGTGGCGGGCAATAATATTTTTGTAAAATACTGTTTGAACTTTTATGAAAATGTGATCATGATATAAATCGTATTGAATTGTTTTGTGGTGTTAATTTTTTAGAACGTACCTCTTTAACACAAATAACATAAAATATATTTTCTGAAGGCCTTATGTTCTTTGTTGTCCTCTATGAAAATGTCACAATAACATCTATCCCTCTTGCATACTAAAACTATTCACTCTCAAAAGCCAATATTCACATAGGAAGTCATAAAGTGATTTGCAGGAGCTTGTAATGACTCCACTTGAGTATAATTCAGTTGATGTACAGTATCGTGCACCTTTTCTCTAATAAAAATAAAATAAAAGTAATCTAGAAGGCCTACTTTCTTGTTAAAATTGTTCCAGCTGAGACGTTATCAACAATACCAGCACTTCTTCAATTGTGGTCAGCAGTTTCCAAACTCGTATGCAGAAATATCTGTGGTAGCAACAGACTGCAAATATTTCCCCTGTGTGCACAGCCTTGTAAATCTTATTCAACTGAAACTGAGATGTGTTGTTGAGCAATGGCTGACCTAACATAAGGACAGTTGTCTCCAAAGAGGGCAAAGTCTGTATGTTTTTCCAATAGCTTTTGTGAAGTGTTGGGGGGGAAGCTGACTGAGAGCTGCTCAGGGAATGACACTTCCCTGTTGAGCCTTTTTCTTCTTAAATTAATCAATAGATGTTGATGTCTCTCATGAACCTCGGTGACCTAATTTATCTTCATGCACTGAAAAACCAAAATGTACAACTAAGTTCAAGCGGCTTTTGGAGAAATCCATCCATTATCTTTACCCACTTATTCCATTTTGGGTCACGGGGGTCGCCGGTGCCCATGTCCAGCAATCACTGGGCGAGGGGCGGGGTACACCCTGGACGGGTCGCAAGTCCATCACAGGGCCACATAGAGACAAACGAGACAAACAACCATTCACTCTCTCACTCGCACCTAGGGACAGTTTAGAGTTACCAATCAGTCTAACATGCATGTTTTTGGTCTGTGGGAGGAAACCGGAGCACCCGGAGAAAACCCACGCATGCACGTAGAGAACATGCAAACTCCACCCAGAAAGGCCCCTGGACCGGGGTTTGAACCAAGGACCTGCTCACTGAAAGGCAGCAGCTCTACCAGTTGCGCCACCGTGCTGCCCGCTTTTGGAGAAATGGTTTATAGAATTCAGCAGATCTTTTCCCTTCAAAAATCTCCTGAACCTTCATCTCCTCAGAGAGCACCTCCTCATCTAACACCTGTAACAAATGTAGCATGCCCTCACCTGCACATACTTTACACCTCTGCTCCACCTGTGTGAGGACAAGTATGTAATTGATGCATTGCAGAGTTTCTGTTGATGTTCCACCGTTGCACATTATTGTGAATAAAATCCCCCACTGAATATAAAAATGTAAAGCCAGAATATATATATATATATACATATATATATATACAGTGTTTGTATATATATATATATATATATATATATATATATATATATATATATATTGGTGTATTAGATGTTACACTTGACCCAAACAATGTCAGTTTTATCAGCCACCACCAAAACATGAAAGGGGAGTTATATTGTGTGGCTGTAAGCAAACATCAAATTTTATTAAATAAGCTTTAAAAAATTATCATTTGATATACCTCTATAACTAATAACTTCCGGAGCTAACCCAATTCATTGCTTGCAAACACATAAATGTCCATAATTTTTATCAGTTTCACAGATATTGTGGTAAACTCTGATGTATATTTTACCATATTGAGTATATTTTACCACACATTTCCAAATGGTACACATCAAGTGGCATCTTTGCTTAAAACTTTAGCGTCTAGGTTTTTTTTAAATATATATTCCTTTAAAGAATTAGGTTTTTAGTTTTGTTGTGCTCTTCTTTTAAAGTAAAGCGTCTTTGTAATGTAAAAATGTAACAAATTTCATGAAAAATCATAATTCTCTTTTATGTATCAGATGTTGGTGAAGTCCCACAAACACACTCGTGCAGTTTGACAGGTCATTCACTCATCAATTGGCAGCTGTAAACATAATATGTTTTTGCGCTTAGCTTTATTTTTAGACATCACCTACACAACACGCACCCATTCCCCTCTCACAGACAGCTGTGACTTTGGTCAGAAGGTAAGGATTGCTTCATTGTAAATTTCCGACAAAACAACGTCAAGGAGTAACATAAAAAAAAGGATGCAGCTCACACAGGCTTTTTAAAATCAAGGCTTTGATTACACTAATTTTATTGCGGTCTCAATAAATGACTTAATGAAAAGGGTATTAGCTCTATTGTTCATAAGATATGCTGTCAGTAAACAATAACTCATTGTACTCCCACGTGTTAACATTCAACTGCTAACAAAGTTACAACTCTGCTATGAATGATTTTAAGTCAGTCCCTTAAACTGATGGCGACAAAACAACAATTCAAACATTGCTCATATTTTTGTTTTGCATAGTAAAAATTAAGGAATAAAAATACTGTTTTCATGACTATCAAGCAGTCACACCTAAAATAAATCAGTTATATTGAAATCAGTTTGAAAGATGGAAAGGCAGAGAATCATTTTGCCTAGAAGTAACGGAGATGTATCAAAATGTCGAAGGCTAATCAAAACCAAAGTTTATTCTGTTTACAATGAAACAATCACACCAAAGACTCAAACAGGGCTGTTGTATGTTTTATTATGTTCCTTGCAGTTTTGAGTCATTGAAATATACATTCTTCAGCAATAACAAAACATGTATTTAAATGCATGAGGCTCAGCAGTATTACTTAAATGCATTAAAGCCCAAATCACAATGTATATACCGGTACACGAACTACTAGACCGAGCAAAGTAATCAGACATGTTTGCGGTATTATACTTGTGAAAATTTCCCAAGCGATTTTTGCTTCAGACTATAAATTCTCACTACCTGCATTCAAATGTTTGCCAAATGTCGAGCTAGTCTCCTGAACGAGTGTTCTTCTCTGTTTCTCTTAGTTTGCATCTACATTTAAAAGAGGATGTTAACAGTGTTTAATGTTTGTAAAGGGCATTTACACTTGATTCTAAATGTAAATTGATGTAAGCCAAAATAATTTATAATAATTGTGAAAATGTGTAGCTAGATGTTACAGCACTTGTGGGGGAAGCTTGAAAATCTTCTCTATTTTGTTAAAACGTGTTACAACCAGCGCAGTCTAAATGCGATTCATTTCTGTTACTGTTCTTCACAAAAACAATTTGAAGAAAGGCTAGCCAACAAGTTCTCATAAAAAACGCTGTCCTCACCCTCAAGGGTGAAACTCAGATTGGGTCTCACAGAGGAGGAAAACACCAAACCATGTGTTAACGGCTCAGATTCAGCTGCTTTCCTGTAATACAATAGCTCATTATTTAGACCCTCACTCTCACACACACAATGGGGCAGCTTCAGACCATCAGATTAGTGGAGATTGACCCCTTGCCCACCCCGAAACAACTTCCCTTTTGCTCTAAACCAATCGAAATGCAGGGTTGGCAGAAAGTGTAATGTGAAACCAGTGGTCCTAGTTCAACACTTGGGACCTCGGACACAGCTGTAGGCCAACAGGAACAGCAGCTGTAGTCTTTCACACTCTCATTTGCTCTGAATTTCCTCACTGTGTTGCACACTAGCCACCGTCCGCTGCTCACTCATTCAGAATTATCTGGGCGAGAAGCAGACTCACAACTCGGGAGAGCTTTGTGGGATTTACAATGTGGACTGCTGCTGTGGATTAGTCATTTTGGTGGCTTGCTGTATGTGTGACACATTGTGTTTCCATCCGTCTATCTGAAGTGGACACATTAAGGATTTAATTGCTTGAAAGCTATCTTGGTTGCATGTAGGAGCTGTAAAACATCTGCATCAGCCAAGTGGGCCTTGTTACGGTGTGGAGGGTGGATGATGCAGTGTGTCTTCTTCCTCTCCCCTCAGCTGAGCGCCGGATCACCCTGTAGCTGTGAGGTCGGCTCTGACGGAACAAAGAAGAAGAAATCCAAGAACCTGTAAGTTCTAAAACCTCTAAAGAAAACGTCTATGCTATGCCTCTTTTCTCATCATTTTCACTGTCATTCTAATCAGATTAAAACAGCATCAGTGAAGGTATGCTGGTGTAGATTCTCAGTTATTCAGGACATGGTAAATGCAAAAGAAAAAACAAAACAAAAACAAGTGGACTTCTATTCTGTGGTTCAACTACAAAATAAAAGTCCATTTTTGGGCAGCATTATTGCAGCGTTCAATTCATAGCTTGAGTGTGTGAGAGAAAAAAGGGAATAACGAAGGAGTGAACAGAAGTGACATTGATGGATTAAATCATCAAGGCTTCTGTGTTGATTAATTAGCTTTTATTCTCATGCTATTTCAATCAAAAAAACAATCTCACTCCCAGTCAATTATTTTAAAACAAGCTACTGTCCAAAAAGATGTGGAGTGATTGCAACTCAGTTAGGTTTTTAGGACTTGAAAAAGTTGGCTTAGATGTGATTGGAATAATGGAGAGGCGTTCTAATGATTGTCCCAGTTAAACTGACATTTTAATATTGTTTATGTATTCATTCAGGCTTTTAGCAAAAGTGATCTTCTCTGACACTGCTAATAAAATGGCCAACATATTCTTAAATCAGTTGTAAATACAGGGCGTGATGCTCAGGTGTGTGGCACCATATGTGTGTGACATTTTCCGAGGTGAGCACAGTGATCTGTGTGTGTGTGTATGTTTTGTGTGAATCGGGTGATTCTAGATTCTGACCTTTAGGGGTGCTTAGCCCCCCAGTGCTGACAATGGCTCTTGGCTTGAAAAACTCAGTGGCCACTCGTCAGAAGCATCCGTGATATGTGTGTGTGTGTGGTGGTGGGGGCGTCTGGGGGTCCTCCTCCAGAAAATTTTGAATAAAGTAGATGCCATTTCCTGCATTCTGGTGTATTTTAACAGTTTTTTAAACATCTCTGTTTACCTATATAAGTAACACTTGATTCAATAACTATTTTAGAGTTAAAGGCACAACAAAAAGTAACCTGACCAACAGCTCTCCTTGTGTGAATAGAGCTCTCATGCTACCTAACCCCCAGGAAAAAGGGGTGGAGCTCCTGCAGGTAAGGGGTGTTTCACCTCAGGACAAATTGAGATCACTAATTGGTCAGTTGCTGACAAGCCTGCTGGATTGATTGACAGGTGGTGTTGAGGATCCGACTCGTGCAAGAAAATCAGATTTTACTGGCTCGTTTAGGAGTGTCATCCATTATTATTCTAAATTTATCCAACCTTTTGGTGAATCTAAGGTTTGAGATCTAAGCTTCCTACAAAATCCTAATGATGGTTTCTTAATTTTTCAGAAGTGCGGAGTTCAAATGTAGGGGTGCCTGAGCACCCCCAAAAAGAGGCTAAAATTGTGACTGATGTAACTGATCTTGATGCTTCTGTGATTCCTCATTTGTTCCCTCTCCTTTCCTTAAAGAGAAAGATACTTTAATTTACCTTAAGAGCCAAAAAATTATGGCTCAGGTTCATCCATGAACACGCTAGATGCCACTTTCCTGTCCAGGGAGTTTTTATTTAATTTTTTTGTGCTGTCTAGTTCAATAGCAGATAGAGTGATTAAAATTATCCAGGTTTTTCTCCACTAGTAATCAGGACAATGTTGTCTTTCTGTCAGCGGCTGCAAACAGATTGAACAGCTTTTTTATTTGCGTTGTTAAATCTGGCAATCAAAGTTTACAGAATTGATTTTAGCGATAGTGTTTTCTATTCATTCTAGAAAATCTAGAAGGCTCGATCATTTTCTATTTTAGGAGTTTTTGTATTATCCAGTTTAGTGATGGATTTGGGGTAGATTTCACACTCAAATTTACTCAAAGATCACTCTGTTGCTCTACAAAAACATGTCAGAACTAGTTTTTAAAATGGATTTCTTTTTATGTCTTTTGGCTGTGAGATGGGTCACAGTTCACAAATGGGCAGGGGTAAACTCTTGACTGCACTGGTTTGTCAGATTAGGTTTATCTGAAATGTGAAGCAGCTTCACATATTATCAGGTCTTAGCTTGTGTACACATTTTTATCACACAGATGTCTATACTTTCCTCCTTGCATCAGTTCTATAGTTTGAATTTTTTCTTTAGGTAAATACCCGATAAGCTTCCCAGGTGTGACGGCAAACAGCTTGAATGAGTTTGTCTTTTATTGTTTGACATGAAACATCTGTGCTGACTCTGATGACAGCTATATAAAGGAAGAGTTTGCCTTTTGTTGATAAAGTATCTTTCTGTCTCTCTTCTGTCATCACAAGTCAATATACTGAGTGTGATTCACAAAGCTTTTTGGCCTAGTGGAATCTGTGGATTAGTTTTGTGTCATCACTTTTATAATTTGGTTTATTGTTCATTAGTTTTTACCTGCTTTCCACCATTTTTCATTAGGCTTGTCTGTAAACCAGTAGCAAAGGCATTATCTGCTTTTTCATATTAAGTCACCTAAATAAACATGCTCTCAACACAGTATCGTCCTGTGTTACTCAGAGGAGTACAAATTCAATAAGTTGGTGCTAAAGATTGAAATCTCTGACCTCCAGCCAAGCATGAAGGAAATGAAATTATTTCCTGCAGATGTAGGAGGCTGATATTTAACATATGGAAAAGACCACAGGAGCCAGCAAATGTAACAAAGAAATATATGTGACATGGTGAAATCATTTTGATTCTGTTATAGATTTTAAGAATGCGCTCTTTGACCTTAGGTCCAAATGATTTTTTTTTTTTTTTTTTTTGCTTGATCTGTCTCTTACTGGTGATAACACTATAGATTTCTTCTTATCCCTCCTTTCCTTAATAATTTGCACACTGCATGTTCGTGCACAGATATGAACTGGGTCAGACTTAAAGTTAGAAATGCACAAGCCAGTAAATTTTAAAATGCTGCAAGTCAGATTTAGTGGCTTTGCTTAGTCTTTTTGTGTCTAGAAGGAAAATGTTTTTGCGATAAGAAGAAATGGGTCAGTAGGGGAGCAAGGAGCACCTTTTGAAAAGTATAATAAAAGCTTACTGACAGTGACTCTAAAGGAGAAAGGGTTTGGCGTTTTGCCGGAGGAGGCCTGATTTGGAGTAGCTCTACCTTCCAACTTACTGTCTGTAAATGAATTCCCCATCTTGGTGCAAGATACCACAAGACACCATTAGAGGTCTTGTAGAGTCCATTCCTTAGTCCGTCACAACTTGTGCAGGACCAACAGCATATTAGGCAAGTGTGGTCACAATGGTTTTATCTTGTTTGCAGAAATGTACAAATGTACTTTCTTTGTCTAATATTTCTTCTGTTCACTGCTAAAAATGAATACTTTGTCCTCACACTCATGCATTAATTGTGTTCTTCTAATTCCTGAATTTGAGCTCCCCCCCCCCCCCCCCCCAACCCCCTCACCTCCCACACATGCACTTCTCTATATACATTTTTCTTCCTGTATTTAGTTTCTGGATCCGACACAGCTGTTTTCCTGGGATTGTCTATTTGATCTCTTCCTCTCCCTCCCATTTAGTCTCCCCCTTTTTAGTCAGTCCAGGTGTTTTGGAACATTTAGCTGTAAAACTCTAAACCTACTCCACCTAAAATAGACAAGATTAACACAAAATGAAACATGAGTTTGTCAACAGATTATCTACAAACTTAAAAATTACGTCTTTTTCAAATTGATCATATAATGTGTAAATACTGAATGTCTCAGCGTGGTTAGAACTCCTCTAATGTCAGCTCATAAAGGCAATACATTTAGACAGATGGAGTGGACCAATAACAAAAACCCAACACTTATGACATCTGTGTGTTTCTCCTTCACACTGGTGATCCATAGAATTGTGCAGTACATGTATACTGAAGGTTTTTACTGGTATATGAACTTTTTGCTGCCAAGGTATGTGTAAGGTTCATTTCTGTGATGGGAAAGTTAGCCACGTTAAATGTGTTACAGTTGACACGGCTGCTCTGACCCAACTCATTGGAGGGCTTTTGTGAACCATTTACAGTTACTGATGTGATAAGAACATTTCCTTATACAAGTTTTATTTACAGCTTTAAGGTCCTGTTGAACTGAACTTATGGGGTTTGTGCAGGGAATTAAAAAAAGTTGCAGTATACCTCAAAAACTGTTTGTATTTATTTACATTTTGTGCCAGCGCCTATGGATAGTACACTTTACTTTTTCAATTTTTATCTACATCTACTCATCAGAAACACTTACTCCTTGTCAAGGACTACAGAATGCAAAGTATGGCTTTAATAAAGACTTGTTATAGCATCTTTGAGCCAGAAGTTAAAGGCCATCGCTTTTGTTGCAATGAACAGTAGAACATATCACCAGAATCTTCACCAGCATAGTAGAACATATCATTACATTAGTCAAGCTTTGCTTAAAGGGTAAACTTTATCCCATCGAAAAAGCTTGCCAGACCCCGCAGAAGGAATCCATCTCCTAAACTCTGCATGTGGATTGGGCAAGATCAGAGTCCGCCTTCTCCAGACCTCCTGGACTATATAAAGCTCCAGCAGAGCCTCTTAGGGGTTAGAGGAATGTGATTACCAAACAAACCCCCTGGTTCTGACCACTGCCACTCCTGACACATGCTTACTTGCAGCTGAGTTCATGCCTGCATCCATGTTTTCCATCATGGTTGATTTCTCAGAGAAATACCTGGAAAGGTAAGAAAGCAGCTGTGGATGTGTGTGAATTCTTCATTTGTGTGGAACTATTCTGCGTCCTGCAGAGATCATTGCTTTTAGGGTGGTATGAGGCTATCTCCTCTACTTGGATTTTATTTGACAGTCGCAGTGAGGGATAAGAATCCCTTGTGAGGCTGAGGTGAATGAACTATTTTGGAGGAAGCAGCTTTAACTTATAACTTGAGGCTGTCCCTTTTTCCCATTTGATGTGGCCTGGATTTCTGAAATAGAACTGCTCATGTGCTCTTCTGTGACTAGAAAGGTGATTTGTCTCAGGAATAGAGATCTTTTTTTATCTTGACTAACAGATTGTGAATGTAATGGTGTTATATTTATGAACCAACTTTAGAACAATTTCTTTTTCATTGTTCTTCTAGGAATATTGCCAAGAGACTGTCTCTTGATTATAAAGCTCTTTCAGGAATATTTTTTGTCTTAGATATATTGCTATTTGTTTCTTTTGAATAGCTTATGTCTCTGAACTGTTTAGTCTGTGAGGAAAGTGCAGCACATAACCTTTACATTTGCTAGGATTTTTTTTTTTTTAGATGGAGCCTAAATTATTTATTTACTAAGTAACAGACACTGTGACACTAAACTAGACCAATTATACTCTCACATACACAAACACATAAACAGGCTCATGCGTCGGCACAGCATATTTTGTAAGTTATGTCCCATATGCACTTTGCTAAAACAAAGACAAAGGAGTTACCAAATGCTTGAACGTTGCTTTGCTGTGTACCTCATCTTCCATTACTGTCACAGATAAAGCCTTGTGGATAGATAAGTGAGATGAAAATAGGCAGTGCTATTGCTTTCTGCATGTATGGTACATTGTGATCTGCATCGTGTCTGTCTTCAGTTCTCCCAATGTGCCACCGGAGCCTTTCCCTGAGAGTGCGGCCTACTTTTTAGAACACCAGGAATAGCCAGAGGCTTGCTATTAGCGCCAACTAATGTGAGCCGAGCAAAGAGGGAATAAAAAGGATAGGAAGCTACAGATAATTGCAGAGCAAAAGACCTCTTGGTCCTTCGCTCGAGCACTTAAAGTGTTTTCTCTGAAGTAAGGACACAAGCAGGCAGGCATGTGTGGACAAGGTACTGGCATGTTACAAACGGCTTGCTGAGCAGTGGGGCAGAAATTTCTGGGTTGTTACTTCAGATCAAAGATCATCTTAATTTGATAATCTTTGTCAGAGAATGTGTTAGCCTCTTAACAGATCAACTTAAGTACAGGCAGTTATTGGGTGTATTAAATCAAATGGAGGGTGATGAATGGCTAATGGTATTAGGACTAGTGGGAGGGTGGGCTAGGGAGCTGGAAAGATGCATTGAGGTGGAAATAAATGGAGGGTTACTCAGACCAGGAGAAGAGCTGTTAGCACTTAAAGAGCAGAGGTGCAAAGAACACTTGATTAGCCAAAGTCAAGTTCTGGACAAACTCAAACAAAGAAGTCAATGATACTTTATTTTATTTTGTAACATCTAAAACTCTGGAGATCCTTGGCACAACAATAACTACATAAAATTACCCTTTGCATCTCTCCTGTGTCTGCTAAGCCCTCAAATATATATTGATGCTTCAACATGCAAACCTCTTAAGTTCAGTCAGCAAAAACTTTGCAGTTGTGAGGTTGAAGAAATGACGCAATGGATCAGAGATGCTTAGGCGAGTTTTGACAGTTTCGTTATTCGATAAGCATGTGTGGACATGTGGATGTCCTCTCTGTGACACTTATACAATATAAATAAATGTGTGTTAATCCACACTAAGATGCAGGACTACGGTATATGATCACTGGGAAGAAATATTTCACTTAATTGAAAAATTACTTTCTGAGTTATTTTCCCCCAACCAGGTATTGCTGCTATCAGTTTATCCAGCGTGCATTGATTAACAGATGCATCTGTATTGGTTTGAGGCTTTGAAAACCGGTCTTAGATCATTTTTTGAATAACGCAATCTCTTTGTTTGCAGTATCTTTTAGCACCCACACGGTGGCAGGAGAGAAATATTAATTTTCTTTTCAGTCACTACTGTGACGACATTATTATCACATCTTTCTCACATGAGCTAAGCCTGTTTGAATCCAGACAAATAATAAAACATCTTCTGTCAACCCTCAGCATACTTTCCATTCCTTATGAAATATCATTTTCTTGCTTTCACTCACATGCTCTAACTAGACAGAGGCTTCCTTTTAGTTATACAGTTGCCTTAAGTTCAACCTAAAAATAGATTTATCCAATAGATTCTGTTCTGGTGTCATGTGTCTATTTAACAGCTTGAGAGGTTTTATATTTGTATTTGTGCCCTTAAAGCTTTAAACTTTATACTATTTTTAGGGGCATGGCATTAGAGAGCCTGTTGTTTCCCTCTACCAGGGGCCTGCCTACATTCAAGCTCAGCAGTCAAGCATCTGGATTTGAGGCTGTTTCAAACAGAGCACTTGTGTTATTTCAGTCAATGGATGAGTCATCCTACGGTGTGCGGAGGTTTAAATAAACCTAAAAGAATTTTTTTTTTCTGTTACCTGGCCCAGAAAGAGGGAAGAAAACAGCTCTCATCTTGCTCTTATTCTATACATACACTTTCAGATTCAGTTTCATTAAATGCCTCCATTCTGGTGATTTTGTTAGAAAGAGTTTAACATAAGTATTTAGACCAGCTTAACCTTCTTTACAAACCCAAACACACCCAAATCAATCAGTATAGGAAGTCTCAGTCATTCAGTGGTGTAGTGTATGTGATACATGGGCATACAGAGTATACCCACTAGAAAAGCTTGGTAATTCTGGTATACCCGCTTAAAAGTGCCCAATGATACGAGTCCATGTCATGTATCATTGGCAATGATACTTACTACTTAATACTTGAACATGTTCGGCTTTGATACTGTTTTATAAATTCTATGTTTTTAATACAAAGCCAACTGTTGTACAAAGTTTGTTGAACATTTATTCAAATAAAACCGTCAGAGAAAAATTGAAATGTTCAATATGCTTAAGAATCTAAATAAATCAACAATTACATTAAACTAAATGGTGTACTTTGGTTTCTAAGCATAGTATATCCACTAAAAATGTAGACTACACCACTGCAGTCATTATAATATGAAAGTTCTTCAGCTGATCTTTCAACAGCTTGTTCTCTTGTCTGAACTTGTATACTGGCAGGTTTTTACTGTTTCTGTCTCGCATAAGTCAGAAATACTTATATTATCAGCTGATTGGCTTCTCTGTCTAGTATGAAACAGCCTTACTTTTACACAAGCACAAATAGATAGATAGATAGACAGACAGACAGACAGACAGACAGACAGACAGACAGACAGACAGACAGACGGATAGATGGATGGATGGATGGATACTTTATTGTCCCCAAGGGGAAATTTGTCTTGGACATTGCACACTAACAAAACTTCTTCCACAATTAAATACACTACAACCAATAACTATATAATAAATAAATAAACTACCTCTTCCTTTTATTCCCTGCATGCAGTCGTGCACACAATAGTAGAGATTTCCAGCACCTGTGATAAGCATCCAAGTACCATTTAGGCAGGCATGTGTTGGCACAGTTGCAGAGGCGTTCTTGGAAATAGTTTAACAGGATATCTTTCATCACTCATATATCTAAGTACAGTAGGCTATATTTGATAATGCCAGTTTCATTCTCTTGTGTATGTTTGAATGACAAGTGTCTATAATTGGAAGTGCTGTTTCTTAATTTGGGGAGTGCATTGCTCTCCTGGGTGGCTGTGGGTTGGAACAGCTTGCAGTGATTAGGCTCAGCTAGCTCACATCGCTGTGCTGCGTTTTAGCGGGCCAGTCAATCCACAGTGGAAATCAAAAGCAGGAACACAGGAAATGGGTGTTGAGTGAGGTCACATCCCAATGAGGAAGCACGTGCTTCAGGTCGGGAAAAGCCAGGACGTGTACCATGGGATTATGGGAATGTGCCGATTCCTCTTGGACCCCATGGGTACCAAGCACTGGTTTCTAGCTGAGTCTTGATGTGGTGCATGTGTAGCATCAGTATCTCTCTGTATGAGGTAGTGAGAGACAGGAAGGACCGATGAGGCAGGTGGTTAGGAGCTTTTGGATGATGATCCTGGAACAAAAGCTGCAGAAGGGATGTCACTGTGCCCTTTTGCCCTTGCCCTGGGTCAACTTTGTCTCAGCAACTCCTGTGGGCATAAGTAAAATGGTGTGATGAAGTAGAGGAGTGAGGACTGACTCTCTCCTCCTTTGTCACGTTTGCTTAGTCCCTGTCAAGCAATCTGCCAGGGATGTTCTCGAGGAAAGACTGTACAAGATATTAGATTGGCAAGCGAGACGCTGACAAGAAGTGAGGAAAAGGAGATTTACCTTTTGGAAAACTGTCCTATCGACATAACCCGGCTGAAGACAGCAATGTACACAGCTTTTATCCTTATTTTTTGTGGTTTGACTTTTTACAAAGTGGATTCATCGTAGTGAAGAGCTTAGTTGACAATTCCATGTTTGGATTGTTTCCATTGTGGATTAGGACTTTGAAATATCAACGTGCTTCCTTAATGTTTTTTTTTCCATCTTTATTTTCTTTATTCTTTTTCATTTCCTTTTGTATTCCACCAACATTTTCCTCTCCTTCAGCATTCACATTCATTTATAACAACTACCTCATTTTCCTTTCTTGTCTTTTTTCACTCAGGGCCAAAGACATGAAGAATCGGCTGGCTTTCCTGCGGAGGCGGAATGAGTCCCCAGGAAGTAACTCAGCCGGCAAGTTGGACAAAACCATGAAGTCAGTCAAGTAAGTGGCCACTTCCTGACAGCATGAGCTTGTGGGTGTGAGTGTGAAACAGTTTTGTGGATCTCGCCACAGCTGGTGGTGACCCTGTGGTGGCAAACAGAGAGATGGGAGTGTCCATGTAGGGTGGAATTCAAAAATGAATGAGAAATATGTGAGTAGGATAGACATATCAGAGAAATTAATTTAAAAAAAATTAAATACAATTTTTAACCTTTGGCTGAAATATATTTAGCAAACTGAGCCGTATGCATATGTTTTTTTACTACTAAAAAATCTAACTATAAACAATTTGGGCAATATTTTCTTTATGAAATGTAACACAAAGTAATTAGAAAGGTCTACATTTATGCATATACATATAAGTTGAGTGCTTATATTTTATTTAAAAGATATCACATTAAAAAGTGTAATCTTAATTAAGTTGCATTGTTTGGTGTGAAATTTACTATTTAAATCCGACAATTACAGAAAGTTGTCCAAATTGTCCAGTCTTTTATTATAATTACACAAGCAAAACCGTTTTCCTGCATTAACATACAGAAGTTTCTCCAAGGTGGATTTCAGAGAGGGTAAAAAAGACATTCATTTCACCATTGAGAGGCAGCAGGGGGCAGACAGTGCTGTGTCGGTGGAGGAAGGTCATTAAAGCCAAGAACACGTTCTGATTGGCTGGTTGAAGCCCCTCCCCCTGCTGCCTTACATTGGCAAATATAAAAGCCAACCCCCATGACAGCGAAGCAGGCAGACTCATGGCAAACAGTGTTGATGCTGTCCTCAAGACACAACTGAATGTGTCAGATTAGAGTGGAGGGAAGCAGCGGACAGGAATCATCTGCTCAGACATTTCCACTCACCTACGTAGCACAGATTTAAGTCCTGCGGATGGGTCACACAATGAGAAACCTGGCTGAAATGGGCTTGTTAAAGAACCGCTCTGCTTTCATCTGCAGGCCCACCCCAGAGGAAGCAATGAAATGGGGGGACTCTCTTGACAAGCTGCTGACACACAAATGTAAGTTTTTGATCCATTTCTTTTTTCTCGTTTTCCAAGCTCATCTTTCCTCTATATTGCCAAGAAACAGGAGCATCGTGGATGCTTGCAGGAGTAGGAGAAGGCTGTGAACTTGAAAATATACATATAAAGATAAAAATACATAGATTGCACACATGCGACTGATGTAATTTGATCGACTCAATCCTAATGCAGTCCATATTTTAGATGGCAAGGCAACACCAAAACGTGTTGCTATTTTAAGCTTTTACACCCCCCTCCCACCACCACCACCAATTTTTTTAAAGAAAAACACTAACTCAAAGCCAGCGCTACATCTGTTATCCATTCAGCGTTGCTGGCCCCTTTATTCACCCTCTTCTCATTTCCTCTCATCCACATCTTACCTCACTCCTGCTTGCCAGAATGAGGTAAGAGATGACAGCCAACATTGGCTCTGTTTATCAGCATAGCTGATTCATGGGAACGGAAAGGTGCAGATGGGATCCGTGGGTGGATGCTGTTCCTGTAATTCTTTCCTTCGGATGCCCTTTCCTTAAATCATTAACTGGACAGAAACATAAAAGACCAAGCTGCTAAAGCTATTTTGGTTTCCCTGAATACAAAACAGACATTTCTGTATTTGCTTTTGGTGCTACTGGAACAGTCATTAGTCTGAAAATTAAGGAATTATAGTTACTGGGTGATATCACTTAGACACTGTCTTGGATTTTGATAAATTCTGCCATGTTACAAAAATGTTCACGCCCCATTTTATTATAACCACATGACTTAAAAGCAGCCAGTCACATATTTATATATTTTAGACTGAAACTTCAACTGTGAGGTTGCCATGGCTCTCTTCTCTTTGTTTATCATCCTCCTCTGCTTTTCCTCAGATGGTCTGGCAGCCTTCAGAGCTTTCCTGCGCACAGAGTTCAGCGAAGAGAACCTGGAATTTTGGCTAGCATGCGAGGAATACAAGAAGGTCAAGTCGCAGTCTAAGATGGCCTCAAAAGCCAAGAAAATCTTTTCAGAATACATTGCTATACAGTCTTGTAAAGAGGTGAGTTAGAGTGAGATGCTGTTGATCGAATCATCATCGCACATGTGTGGCCCCATTCCTTTGTTTTAGACCACTCTCACCTGATTTACCATTTCCTCCTGCAGGTGAATCTGGATTCATACACTAGAGACCACACTAAGGACAACCTGCAGAATGTGACACGCTCCTGCTTTGACTTAGCGCAGAGGCGGATATATGGGCTGATGGAAAAGGACTCTTACCCCCGCTTCCTTCGCTCTGAACTCTACTTGGACTTAATCAACCAAAAAAAGTCCAGCGCCACGTCCACTTCATCTTCATCTTAAGACACGAGGAAGAACATGAGGAGCAAAGAACAATGATGACAGAAACTAAAGGGCAGACTTGGAAAAACAGAAAAAAAAACCATAACAAACAAAAACAAAGTGGGTGGGATGTGAGCATTGCGGTTGGCCTTTTTTATTTTGTGTGTGTATGTGTCATCCTGTTCATTCTGACTGTTACGTGTTCATGATGTGAAGACACAGCAAAGCTATGGCAATGCAAAGGACCAGGTGGATGGATGAATGGATAAATGTTACTAAAAATACAAAAGCCTGTATACAGAGGCTGGACGCTTGTCTGATCACTGTTTTGTCATTATTTGTGTTAAAGTCAACTGTTTTTATCCAGATGTACTGGAGAAAAGAAGGGGTTGCACCAAAAAACCCTGCAGACATGAAGACAGTCCGGTACTGTTTGGTCACTTTTCCCCCTTTATTTCTTTTGAGACTCCCACTCTAAATCTCCTCCTTTGCTCCATCCTGCCCTCATCTGTGAAATGACTTCAAAGCTGTTGGTACGACTCAAAGTCCTTTTCCTTGTCTTTTCACCAGACTCCAAAGCTTTGGTGTTGAAAGGGAAAAAAACAGTGTTTGATGAAAAGCATTGTGGTTCTGTCTCTAGATGCATCTGTTAAGCTATCCAACCACACAACGCTTCTTTAAATGGTTTTCATTCTTTAAAAAATAAATAAATTCAAGACTGGATAGTTTGAGCAGGGACAACAGCGGAGACAGATGAGCAATGAATTTAAATATGTTTGACTAACGGATGGCCTGGAGATGTGCTGCAACACAAATATGCATACCTCTCCCATCCAAAGACATTAAAGTCTCAGCTCAGAGACGGAAAACAGAAAGACGACTTGCTTCCTGCCTCCAAAGACTCTTTACTAAAAGAAATGAAAAACCAGGAAGAAAACATCTCCTTTAACATAGTAGCGTATTCTGGACTAATGAAGCATTCTCAGGACAATGCTCTAACAGGTTGCAGCTTGGTAAATCTTGTTTTCTACTCACAGCTTTTTCTTTTCCATACTTTAGGGTTTAAACCCACACTCCCATATTTCACACTCAAAAGTTGTCCCTTTGATAGTGAGAGGGGACAAAAGTGTATGTACAAATTGTGTCTATTTATTTAGATTAAATTGCTGGATGCTTCTAAAGACACCCTGACATCCTCTAAAGCACTCACTCGCCCTGAAGCTTTTACTTTCCTCTAAACACCAAACAAGTCAATGCTGTCCTGATTTAAGTGCAATATTTTTTTTATTTTCATATTTTATTTTATTATCATGTTTGGTTTGTTTGTTTATTTGCGAAACGTTACATTTTTAACATGGAAGATGAAACAGCTTGAGCTCTGCATTATCTTTATTGTTAAGAGAAGAATACTTAGAGCTATAAGGTTGACTTACAATGTAAACTTTCAAGAAGCATAAGTAGTTTAATGAATTTTAAGCAAGTGAATTTAACTGTGTAAACCCCTAGCAGCAGGCAGCTGGGGAAAGAATGGTTGTAAATATAATTCTTTAAGAAAACTATGTGACAACACATTAAAAAAATAAACAAAAATAAAAACCAATAGGTCTCTGCTGTTAATGAATGTGGGACCCAGATGTATTTATGTAAATATAAGAGACTCAAAAATATAAGACGACGTCTATTGTTTAAAAAAGTAGGTAAGAGCAGGTGCAGTCTGCTCTTCTCCCTGGTCATACACAGCTTGTAAGGAGTTTTCCAAAATGCATTTGATCATTTCCACTGTTTACAATTCAAAATGCATCTCCTATGATAGCAAGTGAAAACAGTAGACTACATTTGGTGTCATTGCTAATGAGAAATAAACCAACCGAATGATATTGTGTCTGGTGTCTAGATTAATTTTTCTTTACTTTTATGAAGACAACATTTGCATGTTAAATATGCAGTGCGTTTTGTAGCTAGAGGTGACTTGTATAAGCATTTGTCAAATAAAGGAAATGTTTGCTTAATTATGCACAACTTTGAGCCACAGTACTAATAAGGGAGATGCCAAAAGTCGCTCTTGCACAACAGCAGCCATAAATTTATTATGACAACTGCAGAAAAAAATTGCACCAGACCAGAAATAGTTTTTATTTCTAGGTAAATTAATTTGATATTTTATTTTATATACTTAATGTTTAAACAGTTTTTGTAAAATTAGGAATACTGTACTTTTCTTGCTAAGTATGTTCCAGTTTTAAGATAAACCAGTCAATAGAGAAAACACATGATCAAATGGGTCTGGTGTTAAGAGATCTGCTGGGAGGAGTGACAATATCCATCCATCATTACCTTTACCCACTTCTTTTTCTTTTGGGTCGTGGGGATCACTGGTGCCCATCTCCAGCTATCACTGTACGAGAGGCGGGGGACACCCTGGACAGGTCGCAATCCATCACAGGGCCACATGGAGACAAGACAACCATTCACTCTCACTCACACCTAGGGACAATTTAGAGTTACCAATCAGTCTAACATGCATGTTTTTGGTCTGTGGGAAGAAACTGGAGTACCTGGAGAAAACCCATGCATGCACGGAGAGAACATGCAAACTCCACCCAGAAAAGCGGGATTTGAACTGGCAACCTTCTCGCTGAGAGGCAACAGCTCTACCAACTGAGCCACAACGCCGCCCGAGTGAAAATATCATGGAAAAAAATGCCTGCTGTTGGTGAAACATGACTAAGTATGTTTGAATTAAGTATATCGCCTTAACACAGATCTTCTGAAAATATTAACATCTGGATCTAAACAATAGATAATAGCTGCAGCCAGATCACTTTACTGTACATGTATTTTACATTTAGTTGTAGACTGCGCTGCCTAAAAATGCATACATAAATTTAAGGCAGAATTTAACAGATTCAACGTCTCATATACTGTACTGAACAAAAATATAAACACTTTTGTTTTAGCTCTAAATTTTCACGAGCTTAACTCAAAGATGTAAGACTTTTATGTGTAGAAAATAGACATTTTTCACTCAAATTGTGTTCACAAATTTGTGTTAATCTGTGTTAGTGAGCACTTCTCCTTCACAGGTGTGGCATATCAAGATGCTGATTATTGGACAGCATGATTATTGCACAGGTGTGCCTTAGGCTGACCACAATAAAAGGCCACTCTAAAATGTGCAGTTTTATCAATGCCATCAATGTCACAAGATAAATAGTGTTAACTTATTATTTTTATATATGAATGTTTCAGTTCAGTGCCTTGAGATGACTTCTGTTGTGACTTGGCGCTATATAAATAAAATGAATTGGATTGAATTGACATTTACGACCCCCCCCCCCACCCCATCCCACCCCTGGAGGGGTTCCAGCATCGTTTGGTTTACAAATTAGGCACTGGTTATAACAAGTAATAAAAAATATATAATCTTGAATGTACAGCTATCTACTTATACAGTATATGGGCTAAAACATAGATTTATGTCTTTGGCCTAGTTTTTTTTATATTTACTGTAGTTTTAAAAAAAAATTATAAATCTTTTAACAGATAATTATATAGGCTGACGGTGATATTATTTTTCACAACACTGAACAAACATGAACGTAAGTGATGATGTACTTCTTCATGATGTTGGGGGAAGATGTCCAAATCACTCTTCAAATGCAAACACAACAGTCTCAGCAGTAATCCATGACATTTTTCACTTGACAAATACTACGGAGTAGTCACAATTTAAAAAAAATATGTAGATCAAATACTGATTTTGCTGCACCAAATATTGTCTTTAGCTAATGCCCCACCCTCTGTATAATTTGGCGTATACAAATATACTCTCATTTTCCTTAAAACAAAAACACAATATATTATCTTTGTGATCATTCAAACAAGACTGATTTGGATTGGTGTCCTTGTGCTAGCCACTGTACCATTGTTGTGGTTGTTTTAGATCTGATACAGTGGAGCTGGAGTCCCAGCTGTTATGTGAAAGGATGTACCAAGGAACCAAAATGTACACAATTACACATACCAATCTAATTGTATGACTGATAAATTACAGACAAATTAAAAGACCCGTCAAGCAAAAGAGCTAAGATAATAAAGTATTTAATGTAACGTTCATTCAAACAGACACATTTTTATTTTTCTTTGTATTAAAGTTGTTGTGGATAGAGGACATAGGTCTGGAAATCTGGAAGGGTCCTTCCAAGTTGTTACAATCTTGACTTTGCAATGAGAATTAGTCCCTGATTTTCCAAACGATTGTCCTGACCATCATCTGCTGTTGGTAAGATACTGCTAACTGATTATTACTCCACACAACCTCAGTTCAAGAAAAAAGCAAACGACTCTTAAAATTTTGTGCACTAGCATGAACCAAAAAAAAAAAAGACATACATTAGGAAGCAGCAGCTATAATAAAATGATATTCCTCCTTTAGAAAATAAAGATAAAACTAATTGGTCAGTATAAAACTAGCAAACAAGTGACGAGATTATCAACTACTTTATTTTACAGACAAGACTTAATTTTAATATTAGCAACAACAAAAAAATACTAATCATTGCAAACAAATAAAAAAAAACACAAAACTATGTTTATTAGGGTAAACAGGCTCTTTGTTATGGATTTAACTCTTGATATTAATGTTTTAGATAACGGACAAGTTCATGTTGTATGAAATGTACTTGCACTAAATAGTTTAAATTTTGTTTTATTCCAAAGTAAATGTTTTTAGATTGTTTGACTATACAGTAGTTGTCAAAATCTCGTATCCAGATGTACTCGGAAACAGCAGCCAAAAGCAGTAAACACCAGAACAAGTTGTTTAATGAGTGTTTTCTGAGGTTCAAAACAAATAGAAAGGGTTGAATTTGATACAAGGACATAGACGATCGGACGTGTCCTGAATCTGACTCTGTTGATATTTAAGAGCCTGTGGAATGTGACACGGGGTCAAGTGTTGGCGGGGTTGTTGGAGTAAGATGAGAGAAAACAGTTGGAGGTTTGTAAGTGTGTATATATATGTGTGTACGTGTCTGTGTTTTGGGGGTTGGTCAGCCTAAAATGCGACAGAGTAGCAACAGTGCCTAATCTTCTTTACCA